TCCTTCCTTCCTTCCTTCCTTCCTTCATTCCTTTCTTCCTTCCTTCCCTCCCTCCCTGTCTGTTCGTCTCCGTACCTGGCTTTCTTTCTTTATTCGTTCCAAGTTTAATTGTTTGGCAATGACTAGAAACGTGGCAACGAAAATGATTTCTATAATATACTTGTTAAAGCAATATTCAATTCACTTTCTTTATATATTTTCTTCTTGTGGTTATCTTGTTTACCACAATAAGGCACAACACAGCCAACAATCTTTGCCCACAAGATGCCTCAGTCCGACAGTATTTTTTATTACAAAAGCCAATCAAACCTAGATCAAAAAACATTTTTTTTCGAGGGAGGAAAAACGGAGAACCCGGTGAAAAACTCTTGTGTCAAATCATTTATACACTATGAGTCTAACTACGACCTCGGTCACAGATTTAATGCCGAAACATGCTTTACAAAAAGAAAAAAAAATCCGTTTTAATATTGAAAATTTTAGATTTATTTTTTATTATACGATGATTGCTCATAAGTATTTTATTTATTCGTCTGTCACATGAACACTCATATATTTTTACTTACCAACGCTGAAAATTAACTTCTAAATTCTAAATTTTTTTCTTTGCTTGTACAGAGTTGGGAGACGGAGAAGGCGTGTCCAACACGTGTATAAAAACACCTCGCCTGATCGTACTTGGAATAGACCCACGTCTCAATGTATCTCAAGGGAAAGTCCTGTTAGACTCAGTCAGCTATAGATAAGATCCCGACGACAAAGCTACCTTTAGGTGAAAGCATCAAACGACTAGTCATTCCTTTGACTGTGTTTAAAAGAGTTGATCCACTCAAGATTACTCTTTAAGGTAAGCAATCAATGACTTGTATATGTTTTACGACCTTCTTTAAGAGCAGTCACTTGACATGTCGTAAGTGCTAGATATTCGACATGTGTAGCTATGACTCCCAGATGTTCGTTGATAAAAAATCGTCTTTTGAATCACGCATCACTAACACCACCAACTTCACATGTCCAAACGCATGCTCAACTAACTTGCTCAGTTATAGTTTACCAACTTCAGAAAATAAATTTCCAGTCGAGATTGATTCCTGGTTGTCTCCGTTTGGAGCCTATTAATCAATCATTTTTGGGAGTTACGTCTTATGAGAGACTGAACCGCATACTGTCAGATTCGCGGCACGCAAGGGTAAAGAAGGTTCTCAGAGAGACGAAATACAAGCCATGCACAAGTCCGTRTAACAAATTTAAACACCAGGTAATCAAAGGTAAATGAGTAATTTCTCTAATTTAAAACATTTCCTTTTTACTATTCACTGAGTTGCTTATATTCTGGAAGTTTAAGTAACAACTCAGAGCTAGCTCAACCACCGTGCTTGCCACCGGGATAGCTTACATGGTTTAAAGAATCCACGAATTACACAAGGTTTCATTTATTTTTCAGGCTTTTTTCTTTCGTATTATTTTAAAGTAAACCCAGGCAGTTATCCGTCTTTAGAAATTCAACTCGTGTTTAGTATTATCAACTGGAGACTACGAAAAGCCCTAAACGTTGCCGTATTTAACACTCATTCTATGTATCTGCCTACGAAAACTGTTCGAAAAATTGAACTGCTTATATCGGTGCTGCATGTAGTTTGCCTTCTTGATCAATGCTGCCTCATCGCTGACCATCTCCCAAAAGGGCAAATCCGTTCGGCTCAGGCCAATGGCTGTTATACTTGAGAAACTAGTTGACCTAGGTATGCTTTATCTGATTGTTTAGCTTTCATATATGACTGTGGTGGTAAATAGCTTGCTTAAGCGTTTTAAGAAAGCTTGTAAATTGATCGCAGATTTTTATTCTTTTGTATCCATGAGACAAAACGTTCATCTGTTTTTTATGTGTGACTGACGTTCGTTTATATAGATGTTTACTTTAGCGTTGAAGTTAAGAAATTGTATTAATTGAATAGAAAAATCATTAAGTTTCGTTCCTGTCATGTTGTTCTGCGGTAATGGCAGGAAAACTGCTACTGCGTAGGCTAAACAGCGGATTCTTAAGAGAGAGTGTTGACTTCTGAAAAGAAAAAATACTTCGACGGCAAACTGTTTGTTATTTTAGGTGTGAAAAACAATTAGATGACGCCTTCAATAAATGAAAAATAATAAGAAAATTATGTTAAGCTTTTCGTGAGATGTTTTTTCCCTTATCAGCAAAGGATGGACCAAAAGTTTGATCTCACAAAGCAGTTGGTTCTAATCGACTTAAAAAATACAAATCTCAGATCATCTGGGAACAGACTTCCATCAACGTGATTTGGTCTGTTCTATTAAATCATGCATTTTATCGAAGCTTTAATCTTGATGACTAAAGCCTCTCACGACCCTGGGGTTATCTTGATTGTTTCTTGTGAAAGGGTTACTTTTTTTTCGATTGCTTTTTACTATGCAGATTTAGATGTAAGTATATTTTGATAATACAGCCTCGATATGCGGAGACATTTGGGCTGACGCGCGTCCGTTGTCATTTTGTCATTTTGCAATTTTCTTCTTCTTAAAAAACGAGCTTTATTAAGTAAATTCCCTCTTGAAGAACTGGGATTTGTTTGTCTCGAAAAAAAAAAAAAAAAGCTTGGAAGTACCAAGCACGAAAAACGTTTGACCATTTCTTTTTGTGAAAATCATAATTGCAAAACTGACAGTTAAATAGTTCGTATTCTTTTTACTTTTCCTGTTATTCAAAATTACTCTGAAAAAATCTTAGTGACGGTCTATTGGAGTCGAAGCSTGATGATTGAGTAGTATGATTTACTCTTGGTAGTATAGAGTGCTTTAGGACAAAAGTGAATTAATGTTTTTGCATGACAATGGTCGTACAAATTTTCTCCTGTGAAACTTGTGAAGACACTAAGAAATAAAAGAGATGGATTGGGTATGACCAAAATGGTTCACGAATACGTAATACATTACCACGCATCAAATGATGTTCTAATGTTTACAAATAATGGGCAGATATCAATAACTATTTCCTATTTCGATCATCTGACGTTCACCCTGTCGTGGGAGTGCTTGCTCAGCTATTAGAGTGTTATTTGATTGAGCCAAGACTCACCGTTATACCTCCATGTGAATAACATAGCAGAAGAAGCAGGTGAAGGGATACGGCTTGATATACACCTGATATGCGTTGTATTATCACGACCAGAAACAATGCATCATTGATAATAAAATGCACCTCACGGGGCGATTCTAACATCTTCTTTCTTGCTTAACTGATTTTCAATTGTTTGTTCAAAACTCGATTAGCTTAGAACAGCTTAGAATGGGTCCTGATTTTACATCACGCATATTCAGTGCACATGATAATGAATTCAGAAATTTTGAGATAAAACCGAGTGAAAGGGTTGGGGTATAACATTAAAACTATATCTATGGTCGGTAGTTCGATTCAGCGAGCTCTAGAATCCTGGGCTTTAAGGGTCGAAGGTAAGCAATGATGACATAACTCGAAAAGCGGTGCGCACTTTATTCCCCTGTCTCCAACAGTGCTCTGTTTTAAGGGTATTTAAAGCTCGATTTACCAGGGATAGAGAGAACTCGAAGAGCGGTGCGCACTTTATTCCCCTCTCTCCATCAGTGCTTTGTTTTAAGGGTATTAAAGCTCGATCTACCAGGGATAGAGAGAACTCGAAGAGCGGTGCGCACTTTATTCCCCTCTCTCCATCCGTGCTTTGTTTTAAGGGTATTAAAAGCTCGAGCTACCAGGGATAGAGAGAACTCGAAAAAGTAGTGCGCACTTTATTCCCCTCTCTCCATCAGTGCTTCGTTTTCAGGATTTTACACACATTTTTAAGACTGTCGAAAAACAAATAAAAAATTTAAACAAAAAAATTATTTGATGTATTTTGAAAATTGCGATTTAACTCATGCATAACAATTATTTACTATGTCTACCCTCGTGTTGTTATGTTTATTTTATTTAAGTTATAAAAAAAATTACTCTTGTAAACTATATCAAACCGAGGATGATAACTTATATTAAACTCAAAGTGCACCAAAGGCCGAAGCTAAAACGCACAGAATTGAAAGATTTGAAATATTTCAACTAATATGTTTTCTTAATGAGTTCATGTCATTTTTGCTCTTTTGTAAACACTCGAGAAAATATTTTTTTTCTACCACAAAGCTAGCGATWGAGCCAAAAGTCTCTCCCTAATCATCAATCCATAAAGGAAAAGCGACGTTTTCTGACGCATTTGCCATTCGAGTGGGTTTACTCAACGAAATCCTCGTTTAATCCTGCAAAACTGCTAATATCCAGGGCCTTATAATYCACTTTGTCACTATCGCTAAGTAGATAATTACATAAACTATACGAATGTAAAATGCAAATCATCCTCGATGGATATCACTTATGTTTTCCAACTGAATGTATTGTTTTGTCTTACTAAACGAATTTGAAGCAAAAATTTAGTAGTTGAAAAAAGAAGAGTGAAGAGAGAGAGAGAGAGAAATGAATGAAT